GGGATAAATTCCCCAGATCTAGCATTATATAGGAATTAAATTCCCAGATCCCCAAGCATGGGATGGTTGAATCAGAAAGCAAGAATGGGTTAAATTCCCCAGGTCAACAAGTATGGGATAAATTCCCCGAATCCAAACAAGCATGGGGTAAATTCCCCAGATCCCAACAAGTATGGGGTAAATTCCCCAGACTGACAAGAATGGGGTAAATTCCTAGATCCCAACAAGCATGGGGTAAATTCCAAGATCCCAACGAGAATGGGATAAATTCCCAGATCCCAACGAGTATGGGATAAATTCCCAGATCCCAACAAGCATAGGGTAAATTCCAAGATCCCAACGAGAATGGGATAAATTCCCAGATCCCAACAAGCATAGGGTAAATTCCTGGATCCCAACAAGCATGGGGTAAATTCCTGGATCCCAACAAGTATGGGGTATATTCCTAGATCCCACCAAGCATGGGGTAAATTCCCAGATCCCAACAAGTATGGGGTAAATTCCTAGATCCCACCAAGCATGGGGTAAATTCCAAGATCCCAACGAGAATGGGATAAATTCCCAGATCCCAACAAGTATGGGGTAAATTCCTAGATCCCACCAAGCATGGGGTAAATTCCAAGATCCCAACGAGAATGGGATAAATTCCCAGATCCCAACAAGCATAGGGTAAATTCCTGGATCCCAACAAGCATAGGGTAAATTCCTGGATCCCAACAAGTATGGGGTATATTCCTAGATCCCACCAAGCATGGGGTAAATTCCCAGATCCCAACGAGTATGGGATAAATTCCCAGATCCCAACAAGTATGGAATAAATTCCAAGATCCCAACGAGAATGGGATAAATTCCCAGATCCCAACGAGTATGGGATAAATTCCCAGATCCCAACGAGTACGGGATAAATTCCCAGATCCCAACGAGTATGGGATAAATTCCCAGATCCCAACGAGTATGGGGTAAATTCCCAGATCCCAACGAGTATGGGATAAATTCCCAGATCCCAACGAGTATGGGATAAATTCCCAGATCCCAACAAGTATGGGATAAATTCCCAGATCCCAACGAGTATGGGATAAATTCCCAGATCCCAACGAGTATGGGATAAATTCCCAGATCCCAACAAGTATGGGGTAAATTCCCAGATCCCAACAAGTATGGGATAAATTCCCAGATCCCAACAAGTATGGGGTAAATTCCCAAAGTATGGGGTAAATTCCCAGATCCCAACAAGCATGGGGTAAATTCCCAGATCCCAACAAGTATGGGAGAGGGACACCAATCAGGTAATAATGTACAGGTAAGAGGTGATGAGTAATGTTAGAAACAGGTATTGGAGGCCTCACTGAGTGACAGGTACTTTTATATACTGTGCATTTGTCTTACCCTATACTGTATTTGTTGGGTCTCTGTACTTATTTGGCCGACTATACCCACACACCTCAGCTGCATGCCCCCGTTAACCTTCTACTTCCGTCATATTTTTGACAAAAGCAGCTAAGCGCTAAGTACCTTTAGTATATAGTAGACGAGAGACAAGAGTAAATAATGCCAGAAGACATGGCTAAGCAGTAGCAGTTATAAAATAAGAATCTTGGTATAATAAAAACACTAGGAACCAATTTGTTGCTGGTCTTGTTGCCCAGAGCGCCTCATATTATAGTATATATAACCCAGCACAACAATCTGGATTTTGATTGTGTGTCAGTTTTTGGGGAGCTTTAACGTGCAAGTTTGCCACCTTGGTCTTGTAGACCACATCTGACAAACTCCCACAGGAAAAAGCAAAGAGGGTTATGCTTTGTGATCATCGTGGACTGAATGAAAAATTTCCAGGTCACTGGAAATATTCTAAGTGCTTTTTCATGTTCAGATAGAAACCCTCTTCAGACAATGATTGCAGTTCATTCTCCCCTAGTCAACCAGCTCCAAATGTGTTAAACTTATTCCTTCTAAGTGTTACCCAATTTACCTTACTTTAACAATTGCTATACTGTACTCTCAACCAACACCTTGACAATAGCAATTTAGTCAATCAGCAGTATGGCTTCTGCAGCAGGCAACCTCCTGTCTTTCCACACCTCCAATCTACCAGCCAATGAATTTACAAGGTTAAGTTAAACCCATAGTTAGTTCTCAATGTTTCCATGACATACGAGTTTGGCAGAAGTTCTTATTTTCAGAATTATTCTGGTATGGCTGTCTTTTCTATCCAACTGCAGTGAGTATAATGTCTTGTTACAAACTACTTTATTTACTCTTATGAAGATGATTCAGCCTCTACAAGTCCTTCACTTCACCCACCACACAAAATTAAATTATAAATGTCAAACAACAATAAACCATCTCACCTGTAGAGCACAAGCTACCAGAGTAAAACCAACACCCGTTAATCCACCATAGCATAGTATTGACAATGTAGGGATCATCCTTACCCATATATTTACTTGAACAAACTTTATCCAAGTTATTTCAATGATGCTTGGACTCGTGTTCAAAGCCAGGTCCTACCTAATATATGAACAGTTGGCAACCATTTATAAGAGCCGTGTGCAGTACTGCCGTCATCTGTGAGCCTCATCATCTCAACTGAGTGCAGCAAAATGCCCTCAAAACATGCAAAAATTGTGGCCTTATGAATAATTTCCAGCTTTGCACATTCATTGGAAAACACCACTTTCCTAGTTCCCCCAATACTTCCAGGAACTGCTCTAATGAGCTTTACATACATTACATACTATACCTTTTCTGTTGACAATTACATTCGACAGAACCTGTCTACAAAACACGTATACTGTAGTATATCACATACAGTACTAGCAGTCTGTGTAATTCCTTGCCACAATACTGTTTCCTGCATCAAAACATCCAGTGAATAGATTTGACGACACTTCTTGATCTCTCCCGCACTTCTTAAGAATAACAATAATACTAGTTGCCGCCAACAACACAGTTCTAGGTCACCAGATTTTATATCAACTGTGATAGGTCCAACACTGAACATATAATAAACCCTAAAGTGCATATTTAGTGAAGATGTTTTCACGCTTGAGGTGAGACACCATTTAACACATGATGTGAAACTTTCCTAAAGTTTCGCAGCAAATTAATCCTCTTGAGAACCAAAATATCCTCTGGTTATACTTAGCATCTGGTATACAATTACCATATCAATGAATTGATCTACACTGGTTGAATATCAAGCCAATGCCAGACAGCAGCAGCTATCTAACCAACCTGCCAGTTGTCATTAGGAAACTACTGAACACACCTAATCCATCATATGTACAGCCCTAACACATAGAACCACATGGCAATAGTACACACATCTCAAATTCAGAAGAAAATACTAATACAATACAATAGTTGGTAACAGCAGTGCAGGAGTTCAATCCAGAGATTTCATGACTACATAGGAGTTGATTGATCCAAGACATGGTTATAAAACCTTATTGCAGTAATGGTGTCCATAATACTGTGTATGGGGGAGAAATACACTACTGCTATTTCCAGTGATTCATCTGACTTGTTAACTTGCCAGCTGTTCTTGCATAAATGTATAATGCCAAGTTCCCACTATGTAAAAGTGGGCTCAAGTTCGGGAAGGGGAGCCAGCTGAAATCAAGCTAACCCACACAGGCATACAAAATGACCATAGAAGGTGGATGGTGATGTTACATCCTTGAGAGAGAGATAAAAAAAAAAAAGGGGGAACAATAATTCAAGATGCCCATCACAAGTCATAAGATCACTAAAATGTATGACTAGAAACCTTGAGAGGAACCACTCAAGTTTCACTTGAGTTTCTCTGACAAGAGTGAGAAAATCTGTAATCTTGCCCAAAGGCATTTCTTGTAAACGTTTCACTTCTGTACAGTAACTTTTACACCCTTTAACCCGCAACGGGTGACTAACGACTCCCTACCCCCTCCAATATACACAAGACAATAAAAAGATGGTTTGTTTTCCCCCATTGCTGAAGAATGTAAACATAACCAAGAACAGTATACACTTCATATTCTTCCTCTGCCATCACTACCATTATCATCACTGTCACAAAACATAGCCATCCAATCTCTGGGACCATGTTATGGGATAGCACAGTGATCGAGTCTTAAACAGCACAAGATGTCATAGCATGCTGTCTTCCAGTCATTATCTGTAAACCGGTGCAGGAGAGAAGTACAGTATAGGGGAGCAGTGTCAAGGACATCAATTGGTTACTCGTAAACCTTTAACTCAAATGGAGCACGGGGAACTTCCCTAGACAATGGCAGCCGTCGCCACGGCAAACTTCAACTGATGAGGTTAACCATCTAAAGGAGAAAAATGTATTGGCTGTGGGGTGACACCATACATAACCCAAACAAATATATCTCCTGACCCATGAACATGCGTACATGGACCATCCCCCCCTTAATGTTACGTATGGTACAAAATATAATAAAACTACTACATTTAGTTCAAAAGAATTATATCTTTTTCATATATAGTGTACCTCCATTTTTCATTCAGCAGCTTAATTATAACAACTCTACACTCTGGTTGAATCTTACTCGGTGGCAATTTAGATTTTGGTTTAGGGTTAACTTGACGAGGAGACACACATGACATGCCAAAGCCATAAGTTGACACAAGCAGAAGGGACAAATATGTTGTCTTTATGTAATTTGAGTGTGGTGTTTATTTCTCAGTTTTGGTGGTGTAACCTACAGAGGAGAGCGGTCATCTTTAATATATTGTAGACAATAAGACGATTCTTTTACAACAATTCTGTTGACTATTTTAGAGGCAAAGATTTGTCTTTAACATCCAAATCTTTTCATTAACAGAAGCTCTCGAAAAGTCAGAATGCAGCACTGCTTAAAATCTTGTTTGAGAGCACTAAAAATTACCTTTCCAATAAAGTACATTACCCTTAACTGAAATCAAATGCTTATCACAAACCCACAAGACCACCTGCCACCAAGTTTATACTTTACCTTAATATGTGTACTTACCAACTACTGTTGCTTTTAAGACGACGGATCTCTTTCGTTGCCCACATGGCCAGGGTCTTCGTCTTTGATGTCTTAGAGCGGCGGCCTTGTGAGAGTAGACTGGTGATGGGATCTGTCTCAACTAACTGCAGCATGTCTGCCCCAAACACAGAACAAAGATCTCTGAAAGTAATACATCAATAATTAAAGCAACCATGCGTGTGTGTGAAACATGTCCCTGCAACCGTGTCTGGTACTCTGGGACTAAACGAGTCATCAATCTTCTAAACAAGGAGGAACATTTAAGTATAAATTCTACCGTACTATGTCAGTCCAGTACCTAGAGCAGTAAATCCATATTGCATCAAGAGATGATGGCAGTCAACCATAGTGACCCCTGGCAGCAATAAATTATTCATTACTGTAATGAAATCAGGCTACAATATCAAATGAGTAAAACTATGCAAATTTCATAATAATTCAAATATTTTCTGTTTTAGACTGACTCATGTTTGATGCAGTAGCACCTTATAATTCCAAAACTAAGATATCCAGTACTGGATGACACCAAATATTTAATCTACAGGAGGAATTGGAATGATCCAAGTGGCCACATTTTAGTGCAAACCAAATGACCAATATATTCATAAACAGTAGTCACCACTAATGAGTAGAGCAATGAATCAAATCAATTCCAGTATATATGTATACTGTATATACAAAAACTTACCCAATGAGTCCCGCTGAGCTTGCAACCACAGGGTCTGATTTTTCGTCATCTCCTGCAACTGATGTAATAAATGTTATCATGTGTGGCACATGTGAATGCAGAAGCTGGACTTCTTGCTTAGGTGTTTGGCCATCACCCTTCAGGCCTTGGACAATACCAGTGTAAGCTTCTAGGCACGTTTCACGTAATTCATTAAGGTAATCTAACATGTCAAAGTCTGTGCGGTCAACCTGTGCTTGAGATGCCTGGTGGAGCATCTGCAGGACAACATCCAAGTATTTAGTAAACTTTGGCCCAAGAGCCAAAGCCATATCTCCAAATACAGATAAAATTGATGGCTTAACATTTCGGTGAACATTATTGTTCCCAAGATTTTCCACAAGCATAGACATCAACTCATCACAAAAGGGTTCCACTTTATCCCCCAAAGCCCGGCATATATCTCCTGTGACACCCACAGCTGCAGAACACACAGGGAAGTCCTCCACATTCCTTAAGCCCAATGACAGATAAGGTTTGAAAGCCTCCATATATTTCAGGAAATTGTGTCCAAGTACTTCAACAAGTGTAGAGACAGCTAAAAGTGCATCCTCCTGAACACCACCTGACTTGCCCTGTGAGGTCTGGAACATCTGTAGCAAAGCAGCCATAATAGGATCACTAATCTTTGGAGCGTCTTCGGGGGTCACTTTACGGAGCACAGACTGTAGTGTCGCACACAGCAATGACTGTATGTCGTTAACTTGGATACGATCGTTGTGGGACTGAACCTGAGACTCCATGTGTAGAACTTGCTGCAGCCTTTCCAAAATAATCATGGTAGTCTTCTGTACAGTTGGATAGCAGTCAAGCGGTGAATTTTTCATAAGTTCCATAAGAGCCTCATAAGCTGCATTTCTAAGGTTGCACTGGTTGCCATCTGCTCGGTCGGTAGTTTGCAACAGCACATCTACCAGGGGGTCGAAGAATGCAGACAGGCAATAAGTAGATGGTTCGCCATCAACTTCACCTGTGTCAGCTTGCTCATATGCAGCCTCTGCTAGAGAGCTGAGAGCCCAACAAACATTTGATGCAACCCGAGGCTCTCCTTTAAGGCTGTGAACCAATGCTTCCAGCAATAGCTTTAGGTACGTATCATTGCATGCAGCATCAGGAATCAGTTCACAGACACGCCCCAAGGTCCAAGCAGTTGTGTCTCGCACCACGACTGACGAATCACTCAGGGCCTCAATTAAAGTTGGCATTGCCTGTTCAACCATAGGCTTCAGATTAGTAGGATCAGGCCCTTCAAGAATGGAACCTGTGGAAAAAATAAAACCACTATATTATCACCGACATACTGTACCTTAAATACTACAAATGACCAAGAATGAATTTTAATAACCAACTTCTACCTACCTATAATGAGAAAGAAAAAATGGAAGTGCATGTAAGTTTTGTCCTCTGCTAATATTAAAAGTAAACAAAAACAGAGTAAAGTGCTCCCTTGCAATTTGTGTGTGAAGGGAAACTCAAAATCCTATACTGTATACAGTACTTAAACACCACGATATTCTCAACAAAAAATTCTCCAACACCTGGGCATGATGGATATGAGAATAAGCAGAATGGGGTTTGTCATCTCGGAATGGTTTCAGATTCTTCGTTCATTTTCAGATTGCATTGTGCTTATTGCGTCCGAGAAGTTTTTTGGTGTGAATATACATGATACCTTGTCTTTGGATCAGAAAACGTTTTAATTCTTAATATATAGTATAAATGTCATTAGGGCACTACTGTACTCTGTAGTTATTTTGTCACTAATAATTATGATGAAAAATTGCCACAACCTGTGGGTGTTGGGCACCGTACCTCTCTCTTATGAGTGGTTTACAGCTGGGGGTTACTGGCATCATTTGATACTGCCAAGGTGAAGAGTACACTAGCACAACACCCCAAAACCTGAATAATTACATTGATAACTTCAGAGGACAATGGTAATGAACCCGGTACAGTACATGTGTGTTATGCAGAAACATTTGCAAAAAACAGTACAGTACACGACCACCTAAGTGATTCACGCTCTTGTGATGACGACCCAGGCCCACAAGCGTAAAATGTTGACTGCTTACGATGACAAAAGAAATGTGGTATAGGTGGCAACGGGAGCTGGCGTCTTGCCCCACATGTAACTACGGTTTTATTATTGTTACATGTTATATATTTTCTTACTCAGAACTCATTATACAGTATATAATGATCAAGACTAAAAAGTGCTCCCACCTCTCCTCCCGCAGAAAAGGTTTAATAGTCTCAATGTGGTAAGATGCTTTTAATTGGAAAACTTCTTGCAACAATCCCAATAAACCTGTTAACTTTATCTACTTCTGTTAGTACTAAGGCAAAAGGGGCATTTACACTTGAGGAATGTTCCTTAAATATTTCAGAAATAACAAACCTTGAACACCTGCTCCTCAAGCTCACCAAACACAAACCTCCTTGTAACTTTATACATATGCCATTAAGTTTTCCAGCATTCATGTCTTTATATGTACAGTACTGTACTGCACTGTAAAGTCTAAGAAAAGGTTTTCTTCCCAGCTTTGGTCAACAAACGCTGAAACTTGGTGGGTCAAGTTCTATCACAATTTGCCAACAACTGAGAAAGACAAAGTTACAAAGGAGAAAAAAAGAAAAAATATGTACTACAGAGTACTAACCAAATGCCATGATAGCTGCATCACGCAGTCTCCAATTTGAGTGCTTAATATTTTCCTTAACAAACGGGAGTACATGGGGCACAATATCATCTTCTGTACAAGTGGCCAAAAGCATGACACACACACCAGCTGCTTTGCAAGGATTCCACTCATCATCATCATCAGCTTCCTCCTGCTTGCCTAAAGTCATCATCAACACAGGCACAAGGTACTGTTGAAAGGAAAACATTAAATTACTGGTCAATTTCATTACTCTATTTTATTATATAATTTAAATAATACTCACTCCAAAGGTTAGAACAAAACTTCACCAAAATTTTCCAGAAATAAAAGTGCAGAATATTTCCAGTGATTTTCCTTAAGTTATTTTCTCACCTGCAGTGCTCCTTTAGCATAGAATCTGGAGGTCCTCTCTGGTGGGCGGCCAAGTTCAGCAGCTTCAGATGCTTCAATGGCAAGATCTACCTCCTCATCACAAACATTTGACCAAAATTCAATTCCTTGCAGTGCCACCTCATCAATATCACTCTTCATAGCTTCTAGTGTAATCTGTAAAGTAAGGTTTTCACTCTTTTTAAGACCTTTCTAGTTGTAATGGAGGTAGCAAGAATCAAGAACAAAGTGCACACACACACATTACATCTTATTGCTGGATTAAAGAGACATTCTGTTATGGTATTCCCCTTCCATAAGGCCCCAAATATCATTGTGGTTTAATAGTGCCGGTCCACATAACCTTGAACCAGTACCACCCATCAACAGAAATATCATTGCCACCCTCCCCCAAAAGTTAATGCAATGGGTCTTTGGTCACCATGGCAAATTAATTTTTCTGGCTGTCCAACCTCTCCTAATACACCCTTCAATCTTTTCTCTTTTCCTCCTATCATCCACCTCAGAATTACAACATTCTCCATCATACTTCACTCAATACATTCCTACTACATACACAAACTGATTCACTGTCAAAAACACACTGTATTTCTGTTCTAATATACATTCTACAGTGGTCCCTCTGTTAACGAATTGCCTTCCATAAGAATCTTCATTTCGGTTAACAAAATTCTTACGAAAATGTTTCGACATTTTTTGGCTTGCTCACCAGCTGGAAGATTAGTCCGCCAATACAGAAATCGGTTCTAGGGCTTACATTCGCTAAAATTGGAGTAAATATCAAGAAGGTTGTACTATTCAATAATTTTATAAGTTTTATATTAATTTTTTAGTCATTTTAACACTTATTTAACATAATTGCAGTACAGAGAACTAGTTTTTGGTGCGCCCATCAGCCACTTCACTCACCCACCAAGGCCTCAGTTTGTATCTCTGTTCAGTGGAGAAAACATCTTGCTTGTGGGTCTCTTGAACACAGAGTATTTTTACATTTTTACAGTACAATTATTGGTCACCCTGAAATTTATTTAACATATTGACAATATATAGTGCGGGCCAGTGGAAGTTGTTTGGACTTACTTCCTAGCCCCCATTAGTCCCTGTTCACCTAGCAGTAAAGTAGGTACCTGGTGTAAATCGAAAGTTGCGAATTCGTATTCAGGGACAAGTTGTTGGAGCTTCCAATAACTTGATGACAAACCATTGACTCTTCAAGCTTCTATGCCCTTGACTCTTCAGGCTTCTACGCCCTTAACTCATGAGACAAAAGCAAGCATGAACTTAGCATGCTTCCCTGTTGGGTGCTGTAAACGCTTCTGCGCTTCACCTTACACAAGGATGTAGGGGGATGCCCAATAAAAAAAAAATATATATAGTGCAGTGTTGATTTAAACAAAATAATCTTGAATTACACCAAGTGAACTTAAAATTTTATGGGTGAAATGACGGTACCATGCATGGGGTGATTTCTCTTCCACCTCCACTTCCTTCTCTTCTCCTCCAGCCCCACTTCTAATTCCCATCATCATCCAGGAGCCTTCTACATACACACCTCAAAGTAAGTGTACTTTACTGCATTTTTTTTTACTTTGTATGTAATTTTCGGTGAGCTGGAACCAATTACCCAAAATCCCATTGAAACAATGGTTTCGGTTAAGGACCTTCTGGAACAAATAGTGTTCGTTAACTCAGGGGCCACTGTATCTATTTCAATAATTGCTCCTAAACACACCATGTGTGTCACTTCAAGACCAGTGTTATATGTCTGCTCAACCATCCCCTAGTACTGTATCCCCTTTGCCTTCCCCAATAAAACTATTACTTTCATTAACATTTCTGTTTGCATAATATCATCTTTCTCTTCGAACAAACTTTTTAAGGACCACTAGAACAATTTCATCTACAAACATAAGTCAACTTGCCTCTTATTAGCATCCCATATTTACCACTCTCCAGTCATTGCCCCATCCATGACAGTGAAACAGGTCACATTTACCTTACAACTACAGTTAGTGTATATACTTTCTCTGCTATACTCAAAATACATTCCTCCATACTTTAAGCCAAGGATTAGAGACAGTAAGGATAGACCACCAGGCACCTGTTTTACCCACAATACACGGCTCGATGACGTCACTGTTGTAAATACGCATCTAGCAACCTCCGCATGTGCCCGCGACTGCTCCCAGTATCAGCGTATCAACAATTATGGTTATTTGTGCAATATACGGGTGAACCAGCAATGCCCAAATCCCAAGTAGAGAACACATCAAGTATTACAGATTTCTCGGAGATAAGAAAACTTGATATGTGTTGAATGCCTGCAAGCACTGATAAAATAAACACCACATTAAAATAGCCAAGAACTTGTTTGAAGAGAGTTCATATTTTTTTTGTATCACTCATTTTTTGGGAGGACCGAACATAAGTCATTCATTTTGTTATACCTGGCCACAGGTATTCTAAAAAAAAATGAAACGAACGTCAACCAAGGCAATGCCGTGGTCCTTGTGGTCACCACAGGTAGCGTGACACCATTGAATGGGGTTGAGCCAAGTTTATGACGTTACAGCGGTTGCGTCCTTACTGTATACAGTCCTCGCTTTAAGCCTTTATACAGTAAAGAAATTAACTATGCACTCTTATACGTTTCATACCCCACCCACCATCAGTCCAAGCACCTGACACACACACACACACACATACTTTCTCAAGTGTTGCCTGTGCATTCATTCTATCATCTTCCCATCTCCAATCTAACATTTTAAGCCATTCCCTGTGCCTTACCCATAAGTTTACTAAGCGACACTGATCAGTTCTTCCCTTTCCACTTTGATGTTATTCACACCATATCCTACACATGATGATTCTGGCATTTATGGTGCATCAGATTTATCACCACCACTTAATAGTTTTCCCCCACATTCACCTATCTAAAACCATTAATTTCCTCTTTCATACATTTCTATCATTCTCTACACTTTAATGGACATAATCCATACCTGTGAGAGTTCGCCATGACTACCTGATGGCAGATTAACATACTGTAGCTTCTTATCTCATGGCCATTTCTTACATCCTCTCCACTGTCATTCTTGACCTAGCTCTCCTTCCCTCCCCTCCACATTCATCTCTTGAGCCAGTTGATCATCTCTATCTTGCCACATACCCAAACCACCTCAGCCTACCCCTAACACAAAACCTTGTCAATACTCCCAACACAGCCACCCTCTTAGCTCTGAAGGTTTCAAGAATCTAATTTAGAGAAATACTGTATGCCAGATAACTTGCTACACCTTAACCTGACAGGTCCCATTCTCTAGTTCTGTACCAACAAGCAAGCAGCCCAATTATCCTTCCATCAAAATTGACTTAATTACCATAAATTTAGTATCTAACCCATACTCTTGGTAGGGTTCACAAATTTCCTTTCCTTCACACAAAAAACTTTTAAGACAATATACTTACAGCAAAAAGTGCAGGCCCCATGTAGTGCTCCATGTATTGATAATAAAGGGACATTATTTTCACCAGACACTGCAGTGCTGCCACTTTTATCTGTGTATTCGTTGACTGTGTTGCCTCACAAACCACCTGAGGATATACACACACATTATAATGTTATACTTGAAAGATAATGCTGAAAATTGGTGTTGCATGACAGCTTCACCTAGTTACTGTGACTCCCCAGTACAGGTACTGTACCAGTACATGATCTTTAAATCCAGATTTTATAACATTTGTGTCATTTTATTATCCAACTGTAAACGTAAGTTACACTACACACCTGCATGATGAAGTGCCTCTCTGCATCTCTCTCAAAATTCTGTCTTGTAAACTCGAGAGAATTAAGAAGTGCTGTAGTTGCTGCTAGTCGGACATGATCATTTGGTTCATCTCTCTTCATCCCATGAACAATGGCAGTAAGGATGTTGTTGCTTTTAGCCGCTATAGCCTCTGGTTCAATATCCTGTAAATCAAATCAATTATGTATTAAGACTGGTATACTGAAACTTAGGAAGATACTTATTGGCAACACTATTGTTTAGTGAGTAGCTACAGTACTGTATACTGTATGCTTTTCAAAGTGTTTAACTCACAACTTACACTTGACAGACCTTACCTGACATATATATCCAATAGCTTCTAGAGTAGATTCTTTGGTCATATCTGTTGCCCCAGGAGCCGTCACATTGGCCACCAATCTATCAATAAGGTCAGGCCACTGCCCCACAGGAATTTCTGTGAGCGCGATGTACGCCACACACTGAGCCGCAGAACTAGGACGATTCTGCTCTGTGCCCAGGGCTGCAACAACCTGCATGTGATGATAATGTATATAGTACAAGGAGAGTAAGTATATGAGCACATAGGCAAAGGTGAACACAATTCAAATATGAATTTATATTGTTGAAAACATGAAGTGAAGACAATGTTGCTATAGTAATGAACATAATCACATGACCAAGAAAATCTTTAAGGTAATGTGTACAGTAGCTACTGTATACATATTTTGACTTGTTTTATAGAGGACAATTTTTAGTGAAACATTCAGGAAAGTTACAGTATAATAACATGTTCAGAGGTATAAGGATATCCTTTGACCCTTAAATATTAACCAATCAGCAGCAGTTAACCTCACAATACAGCCAGCCAATCACTTCACTTAAAGGATGCTATTATTTCTCTTTTTTTCCCCAAAATGTCAACATTTATATCTAAATGCTACTGTCTTCTCCATGTTAACTAGAATTTCAATGGCTTTTTCTTTGTATTTCAATTACTTTTGTCAAGTTTTTAATGTCTAGTGAGCAAAACACTCCACAAAAGCTGCCAACTTACATTACTCTTAACATAGTCCCTGACGTCTGGAGGGAAGGCCAGCCAGCGCTGCTGGTACTGTACTTTAACTTTGGCATCATTGGAGGCTAATGTGTTCTTCAGTTGAATACCAGCAGCCATACGGGCCACTGTGGAGTTACCGCCATGATGGAGGACGTCACTCAGCACTTTCACATATTCTGGCTGTTAAAGAAAAATGAAGGTCATTATTACACACACACACTGGTAACCATAGGATACTAAACAACCACAAAACAATTCATTCACATTACTACAATGTACATTAAAAAGTTAAGAAATTTATTAAAATCAAGTAATTAAATTACAAAATACTTGGCATCTGTTGGCTCACTACAGTACAATAAACCACTCTTATATACAGTACAACACCTGTTTAAACCTCTAAACAGACATCGTTGACAACACACATCATCCAGCTACTGTATATTGTACTCAGTATTCACACAATTATAATAGACTACACTTTGTTACTAAATTATGATTGTGTACATGATCATCAGAGATTATTTTCCCTTCAGTAAATTACCGAGCCTTGAGAATGAAATAGGCAAATTCAAAACCTTGTCAAGTGTTTAAGTTTACATATACTGTACTGACCGCTATATATATATGTAACTTTTTTTTGGTGGTGGTGGTGGGGAGAATAGGTTAATTTTACAAAATTCCAAATTGCAAAATAACTTACAAACTAAACTAACCTTATGGTTAGGTTAGGTTTAAATTAGGATGGCTCGTGTAGATCGATGCACAGTTAAGTGGTCCTGTTTTTTAACCTTTGTTAGCCTGTTTGTAAGTTATTTTGCAAAAAAAATAATAATAATTAACATATACAGTAGAGGTTGTACTGGAGATGATCATCACAGCACATTACTTTAAGGCGGAGAAATAATGTCTAGAGAATTGTTCCCGTTATCCCAACAGACAAAAAACGCCAACCACAATTAAATTTAAATAATGCCATAATTATGAATGCTGCCAATCATAAAGTTAAAGAACCTATTTTTCCTTTCAAAAGATATCGAGGGTAAACCCAACCACCAAAATTAACTGAATATTTATTACAATTTACAAAATCAAAATTTTCTTACACAATGTTGAGAAATTGGTTCAATATAAATTATTATTAAAAGCTTTACGTCGAGTATTATTCTGTAGTGTAGTTTACTGTACCTTAGGTGGTTTCTTGACAATAAAGATCTCACACTGTACAGCTCCTCCCCGACTTACGACGGGGTTAGGGACCCAAATCCAGGTTGTAAGTCGAAAATGCATAAATAATACATATAAAATATAAAATGGGTCTCTCTTTTTCTTCACCGCACCACAAAACTCTGACTTTTAAGCTTGCCAGCCACTTTAAAGAGAATTACAAATGAAAATTTTGTCTGTGCACCGACGTTGGGACTCGATAATACGTAATTTGACAATTTTGGTACGACTGTGGCAGGTCGTAAGTGCAGGGAGGAGCTGTATACTGTACTGTAATTTACTTTATTGTTACCTACAATGTCTTGTTCCTCTCCCCCAAAGAATGGCCATCTACCACTGCCATTGTCTCAACCCTAAATGTGGTACCGTACAGCACTCGGAAACATTTAAAATTTGATTGGACAGATAATGGACGAGTACTGTGCCGTTGCTTTGTTTCCCCTTTGAGAGGTGTCGGTCATCATAAGTCGTAAAAGCTAGAGCTCCCATTATTTTAAGTTATGGGACTTTTACAGTACTTGTATATGTTTTCATACTGTAAGTATTGACAAGCATAACTGCAGCACTGTTACACTGACACTTGTGCTATGAAGACCAGGTCAGCCATGCTGCAGTTTTTCTCACATTATAACCCCCCAAAACTCTCATACACCCTCTCCTTATTTTTAAACACATACTGTACTGTACAGCACTACATGCATAGTATCAATCCATCCATATATAATCCTCTCCCTAATTTAAGTCTTTTAATCATTCTTACTTAACACCAATCCTAAAACCCACTGTCAAACTACTACCTCCCAGACACCATCTCTGCAGTACAACTTCCCCCACATTTGCAGTTCCTGTTCACACTGCAAAATTTGTTTGCACTTTTCATAGTGGCCACACACACATTATTATCTTCCAGCTCCTGTTGAACAACCATAATGACACATTCCTGAGTATCGTAAAGTATTGTGCTTCACTCATCCCTTACTACACAATTATATGTAGTTTCCAATTACCAAACATCTCTGGAACACATCACTTCCCACATTCTCATACAAAATATTTCATTTATAAAGCCTCCCTTACTTCCAGGTTCCTTACCAAATACAACCATATACAGTACAGTATCTTCACAGCTTACTTCAGTACTGTACTGTTTCGCCCCCTAGTGTGCCATATCTGCCTCTTCCTCGCTACTTTTACACAAACACAAGAGCATCAGCACAACCTTAAGTCACTCACCTCTCATCTGGTACAGTTGCTAAAGTGTTCCTACACCCTGTGGTAAACTGTCTCCAAACACCACCGTCAGTTGCAGTATCACTATTTATAAATGAACGGGTATTGGTCTTGTAACGACGGACGTGAATGGTGTATAGGTTTGCTACAGGTCATATAATCAGGGCTGTGGAGTCGAAGACAAAACCTTCGACTCCGACTCCTCAAATTTTTATGCTTCCGACTCCGACTCCTTGGCCTATCTGTAACAACTATTTCTACCATCCTAATTGTAATTTGTATGTTGTAACCTGCATAGGTAAAAAGTAAAACACCGTGGCTATACTGCTACAGCTTTATTAATGATCTGGACGATATTTAAGAACTACAAAAAGATGATAGGCTTGACTTTCAAAGTTTCAATCAAAAGAAAAATAAATTTATTAAGAATTCAAGATATTAACTAGAAAACACCATTTACATGTATATCTAAAAGTTCGATCTCAGCATATGAATTTTGTTTAAGCTCATAATCTGATGTGGATCTAAATGATGATCCTACAATTCCTTTTAAAGTAAAGTTATATATTTATGTACATTAAAGAAATGAATACCTTATTAAGGAAAATGGATAAACCTTACATGATTAAGTTATTAAATTAAATTTGCCTTAATCTCACCAAAAACAGGTTGTAGCTAATTGTTTTGTAGCTGAGAGCCTCTGTGCAGTTTTCAACGAAACAAAATTTGATATAATTCAAAATTTCAAATGGTAAAGAAGAGACTATCGTCCAAAATTATAGTGCTATACTGTGCCTGCTACAATAAATTCATAATAATACTAATAAAATGGAAATAAATTCTTTTAATAATTTAAGAAAATTAGTGGGATCAGTGGAATCACTGCAATGAATATGCCTGAGTTCATATATTTGTTCTTAGGAACAGAATAGCTTCAGTCGGAGTCGGAGTCTGGACAATTTTACCGACTCCGACTCCACAAGCCAAAATTTCCTCCGACTCCTCGACTCCGACTCCACAGCCCTGCATATAAGTTGGCTGTTTGGAGATGAAGGTTACCACCGCAGGTATAGGAACACATTTCTGCAACTGTACCTTCCGTGCCACTTAGATACCTTTGTAGCAAGCTCATAATCTCCCTGTCTCAAGTTCTTCTAACTTGTTCTTATATTCTACCAAGTCATCTCCTTTAGTTTCATTGTTCTCCTTTCTCCTCCTCGAGTCTCTCATCATTAATCACCTAGCTGTAACAATACTCTACTATTTTCCTTCCATCAACTTACCATCTTTCCAGTTTCCATTAGTTTTCCCTTTACTGTATCATTAAAACCTCCAAATTTTTCTTTTACAATTTTAAACTGCACAATTGCAGTCTCCCCCTCCCCTAGAACTTCTGCACTTCCTTCACCCTTCTAGGCTCTCGTATGTACAGTACAGTACTTGTACTCTCCTCTACTCCTGGAACTGTACTGTTTTCCTTGTCACTTCCACCATCAGCTGGGGTCTCCTTATTACTGTATATTGTCTCCTCTAACTCCACAATTTCTTGATATATTCTAGTTAATCTGTCCCTCAAGGGTTCCTACTCTACTGGAAATTATCTATTTTGACCTTGTTTATGTCAGAGCCTCTACACATCCTTCATGTAAACAAAACACTGTTCTATATTCCATCAAATAAATAAATAAATTCCTGTAATAAAGACAATTCTATTTGCCTTAACATCAATATTTCGAAGGTGACTGAATACTTTCTGACAATTAAATAATGCAGGAAGAATATGGCAACATGCAGTAAAATTCAGTTGGGAGACTCACCAAATTGGACTGTGCAGCTTGTTCCAAGTATTTCAGGGCAGTTTCCAGTTCATTTTTATCTGTGGAGAGAAAATACAGTAGATACAGTATCACATAATGCAATTCTAGACTAAAAAATAAAAAGTAACGGCATAGTTCACGCGGTGTGGTTTAGCCTCGGAAGATAATCCCCGCACCTAGAAATTAGTGTAGGTCAGACATGGGTAATTCGTGGCTCAAACCACGTCTTTGTGTGGACAGCGGAGTGATCGAGAAATTATATTTAATGTCACTCACGGTTCAGGTAGATGCAGCCAACTTATGGTGAATAAAGCAATATTTATAAAAAGAATAATCTTCACACACAATTCATTACTGTTTCATCACCTAAGACTAAATAACTACAAAAATGTAACTGAAATAAGTATAGTCAACAATATAAACATTTTTAACTTGTGAGAGTTTACAGGCCAACTTCGGTGCAGTCTGTTTGATGGATTAGCTGCTATGTGGCAATGGGTCACTTGGGCAGAGCAGAGTTGGTCCAAGAAGTTTTGGGTGGGGTAATATGGTGAGCACAGGACAGGACAGCACACCCATCCAGCGGGGGGGCTGTAAACCACCCAGAAACTATTTTTAAATCTGACCAGTATCATGGGCATTTTGAAGCCAAGTGCACCTGATATTAGGTGATATTCTGAAGTCAATAGTTATTACTTTTTACAATACAAAAACACCTGAAGTAAACTCTGTGCTTTGTTACTAGTCTAGTTGGTTGGGTTGCCAAACGGCAAATTCTTCCCCGTAAAAATTACCGTCTCTAGAACAAATAGCTGCCAGTCGCGGCTGCGAAAATGCCAACTTTAAAACTACCCACAGACATTCTTGGGTACATCCAGGGTGTCATCCGCAAATAATAGAGGACCACAAATTGTCAGGACATGTTTCTGTCACTTGCACCTGGGAATACTTGTACTAACTATAATATGTTATGATTTGGTACACGATTACCAAACAAGTTATGTGAGTATATGAGAATGACATTGAAAGCTTGTTTGTAGACTTGGTAACATTGTGAGTGTTGGAGAACAAGGAAATAATTAAGCATCTGAGAGTGAATGAGAATCCTTATTACTTTTGAAAAAAATAAAAATAATAGAAATGACAAAAAAAATCTGAATTTCTTGTTAAATCAAACCACAGGAACCAATATTATTATTTTGTAACTTCGGATTTTCATATAGAGGTTTACCGGTACCAATATTTTGGCCGATACCGATATTCAGATACTAAGAAATGGCCGATACCACCAAAATGCACAATTACAATAATATCGTTAAATACACAATACCAGTACAGTAGACTACTGTACTGTACACTATTTCACGATACAAACTATATAACAATAAAATATTTGAGAGCCTTGGAATCATAAGGCCGCAAGTGTCATTTTTATAGTGTGAAAAAATGCCCCCAAGTTCTTTACTTGTTACTCCTCAACCTCAGTGCTATTTCAACCGTTTGTAAAAATTAAATTACACACTCGACCTAAAACTTTATGACAATATGGACAATTTTACTTTCTTAAAACACAAATATACCTGTATTGTACTGTACTGTACAAGTGTCACTTTGGATGTCAACAATTTATATTACAACAGGAAGAAATAAGTTTCCTCAAATATTACTCCTGCCATTTTTTCCGTCCCAATCTCTACGTCCACGCACTTGATGATGGCCATATCCGTTGTTTACATTCAACATACTGTATTGTACTTTCAAAAATTCAGTGGCTACTGTTGCATTATATGATCCATCAAGAAATAAACGGAACCAACTTGTAATATTATGCTACAATGTGATTTTATTGTATATTATGTACCTTAAATGCTGGAGGCCTACAGTACTTCATTATACAGTATTCTGTTGAAAATGAATAGTACAAGGGCACGTGACCAGACAATATTACTGCCAATGCAACGGTTATTTGTCCGGTCACGACACAATCGGCACCAACCAAGCAGAACATATGCCAGGAGTGAGTAAAGGTTCCAGTACAGTACAGACATATAACCTCTGCCTTAAAGTAAAACTATCAGGAATGATGAGTAAATAAAGTGTCAAAAGATTTGGGACAAAAGCAGGGTACCTCATTAACCTTTATCGATATGTAGGAGCAAGTCATTACTTACAATAAAGGTGAAGGTATATGGTAATTTCAGACCAGTAAGTTCAGCCAACATAAGGTTGGTCCCAACTTAACAATAGTTTTCAGGTTAGGTTTGGATAGATTAAATTAAGTTCCTTTCTTCTCGTATTACAAAAATTCCAGTTGTGTAGAAGACAATGTCATAAAGAATCATCTTACAAAGTACAGAGTATGTTCGGACCAACTTACAATGGGCCAAACTCATTGTAATTCAAGTGTTGTGAGGCCATATACACAGGCACCACAAAACACACAGGCATCACAACACACACAGGCATCGCATCACAACACACACAGGCATCACAAAACACACACAGGCACCACAACACACACAGGCACCACAACACAAACACACAAGTGCCACAAATTCAGGTAAAGGTGGAGGAGAGCATTAACACCAGAAATAACTTAAGGAATTGAACCAAAATTTCTGGAGATACCATTTGCATGATAATGAACAAGAAAATGGACAAGGGAATCCACAGAACCTATTAGAATCGAACCTAACCAACTGACCTATCCTGTACATTACCATTTCGATTTTCTTATTATCATCCAAAAATCTCTAGATATGAATGAACAGAGGATGCTCCACGAGAACCGAGTGCCACAATTATGGTAAATAATTAATTTCTTCGCCTACAAAGGAGACACGAAATTACAGTAATATGTTAGTTACGGTCATTCCTATATTTAGATATCAAACCTAACCAAATGTAACCTACCTACAGAACCCAGGAACTATATCTAACATAGCACCCCCCCTCCCCACATTTTGAGGGCTAAATTCCTACAACTCCCCAGATGACCCAAACTGAAATAATACATTACTGCCATATGTTTACAGTGTTTTTACCCCATTATGGCCAGTGGGATAATGAGACCCCTGCACGTAGGACTCGATTGTTCTTTATTCGGTCAAAACCTCCCAAGTGCAAATTACATAAGACATACTTATATCATTCGTACGTTCCTTCACTATTAACAACTACATATTACATATTTGAGTAGAGTGGCGGTGTTAAACCATTTAAAATCTTACGTGTTTCGGGTCTAATGTAGGACTTATTAGTTCACTGGACGGCTAGAGACTATCTTCTGAACCTTACACCTTGGCTCTGTAAGGGATGACCCAGGTGGATACACACACACACGGGCCCCACAAGATACACACACACACACAGGCCCCACAAGATACACACACACACAGGCCCCACAAGATACATACACACACAGGCCCCCACATACACACACACACAGGCCCCCACAAGATATACACACACAGGCCCCACAAGATATACACACACAGGCCCCACAAGATACACACACACACAGGCCCCCACAAGATACACACAGGCCCCTAAGACACACACGGGCCCCAAGACACACACAGGCCCCACAGGCCCCCACAAGATACACACACACAGGCCCCACAAGATACACACACAGGCCCACAAGATACACACAGGCCCCTGAGATACACACACACACAGGCCCCACAACAAGACACACGGGCCCCACAAGACACACACAGGGCCCCACAAGATACACACACACGGGCCCCACACACACACAGGGCCCCACAAGACACACACAGGCCCCACAAGATACACACACACACGGGCCCCAAACACACACAGCCCCCACAACACACAGGCCCCACACACACACAGGCCCCACAACACACAGGCCCCCACACACACACAGGCCCCACACACACACACAGGCCCCACAACACACAGGCCCCCCACACACACACGGGCCCCACAACACACAGGCCCCACAACACACAGGCCCCTGACACACACGGGCCCCACAACACACGGGCCCCCCACACACACGGGCCCCACACACACAGGCCCCACAACACAGGGCCCCCCACAACAGGGCCCCACACACACACGGGCCCCACAACACAGGGGCCCCACAACACAGGGGCCCCACAACACACACGGGCCCCACAACACACACGGGCCCCACAACACACACGGGCCCCACAACACACACGGGCCCCACAACACACACGGGCCCCACAACACACAGGCCCCACAAGACAGTTTGTTGTCATCCCAGGTAACATGGCCGCCCCTTACAGCCTTGTACTCATCATTTAACTCAACTATCCCTTACACCACCACCAATCCTTCTTAACAGTTATACATATGAACATAATACTGACCAGTGAGCACAATAAGGGCCACCATTAGTGTTATAGTGACCAGGGTGAAGAAATAACTGGTGTAGTGGTTTAGATACATGTGTGGCGGCGGTGGCGGGAACACCCTCACTCATATTCTCTTGTTCTAACACCATCTATACCTTATTTTAATGTACTCACCTGGGGATGTGGTCTTCTCGAGTATTTGTATAACCTGTTCCATAATATCTGGGTAAAGTTAGCCAAAAGAGAGGATAATAATGAGTGGTGTGAGGCAGCGGGCGGACACACCGGTACATCTACCACATGTGCGGCGGAGCAATACCTCTAACACGGGATGAATCACCACTCAAAGTATTATTAACCATAAAACTATAATAAATTGAATATCATATCTTTAAAATGTCACATAATATGATATTATATATTTTGATAATAATTAAATGCTATCTTATCTCGAATATCTCAAATAAAACATGGGAACTACTTTTTTTACATGTTAGCGCGCAAATACGAGAGATTCTTGTCATAAAATTTCAAAAACACAAAAACTAAATATTGCAATTTTGACATATTAGATTATAAATAATAATTAAAAAAATATTTAGAATATTAATGGAGATAAGTATTATATTGAAAATGATAATAATTACAATAACAACAACAACGGCAATACTAATAAAAATAATACGATTAATAATAATAATAATAATGATAATAATAATAATAATAATAATAATAATAATAATAATAATGTCCAATGAAGTTTTCCACTTAGGTCTTATTAGTACAAGGTGTCTGGAATAAATACCACCACGTCAGTCTGTCACCCACTCATTCAAGGTCTACCCTGTATCGCCTAACTGCCGTAACATGTGAACCTTCTGCCATGATGTTCTTTCCACCAAATCCCAAGATATCTATATGGTTTATATCCCTTTTATTACACACACACACACACACACACACATCCAGCCCATTCGTACACGAACTGATCGCTATAAGAACAGCCCAGTCCCAACCATTGTAAAAATTATCAATAACTTGTAATAAACCAGTGTATTCACTCCCAGTAAATACTACTTCTTGCACTGTCACTATGTTGAAATGCACTGTAGTTTGAGCTTTTCCCCATCTAGTTATTATATATCTTATCTTATTTATATCACTTATGTTACTTGTATATTATTTGTAATTCGAAACCCATTCCCCAAATATGTAACTGTATATTTTCAGCCTTCTGGCTGCCAAGCTCTTTCAATAAACCGTTAATTATTATTATTATTATTATTATTATTATTATTATCATTATTATTATTATTATTATTATTATTATTATTATTATTATTATTATCATTATTATTATTACAGTGGTGGTCAACACCACACTCTGTATCTAACCCCCGTCCTTCGAAAAACTGTATTGACTTTCTGCCTCCCTTGCCTCAACTCTGACACCCATTCCATCTCCATACATTACGTATGTGTTTATTTATCCTTTTATTTTATTTATCCATCGTAATGCTCTCCCACAGGGTAACTGGTTTGATACCTGCTTGGGTTTGGTTGAGAAAGGGCGGTGTAAGTGTCTGTACTACTGTATAGTGTAACCATAAAGAGACAGACAGATATTCATTCAGTAGAAACGTTACACTGTTTAAATTGATTTAGCATGTATATATACTGCAGGTCACAAGCGTAGACTGATGGGGGGCGGGTGACATCTGGGACCTGTGGAAATGCGCTATGAACATTATCATCACAAAATATGTATTGCATTACATCATTTTAGAAGGCAGATTTTTTTTTTACGGATTTAGTTTGACTGTTATTAGCTTATAATTCGTAGTGTTTCAGTGAAGTAAATTTTTAAGTTCTCACTGTGATGTGTCTCTTAAACCTGAAACCATGACTTGCTGGGACTGCCCTGCAACATCGTCTGACAGACTGACCCATGGCTTGATAGGTTGAAAAGGCCCGCTGTTGTTTGTTTGTTGCATAAATGACATGCCTGACGTTGTACACTCCTCCATACAAATGTATGAGGATGACTCCAAGTTACTTCAGGAAATCAAGAACCAAGCGGCCTGTGAAGAGCTGCGGAAGGACCTCTGTGAGCTTCAAGAATGGTCGAAGAAATGGTTGCTGAAATTCAATGTCACGAAGTGTAAGAGGATGCACCTGGGGCATACCAACGGTAAGGAGGCGTATCATATGTCCCAACGGGATGAAGAAACTGGATTAAATAAGACTGAATGTGAGAAGGACCTAGGTGTGTATGCTGACAATGAGCTGAAGTTCTCGGGCCATTGTGAGAAGAAGGTAAATCAGGCAAATGAATTATTGGGTTTTATAAGAAGGTCGTTCAGATATCTAGACGGTCCGTCCCTCGTAACGATCTTCAGGAGTAAAGTGCTTCCCCATCTGGAGTACTGTCACCCGTCTGGTCCCCGAGATATGCTAGGGACTGTCAGTTGGTTGAAAATGTTCAAAGGAGGGCCACCAGACTGGTGGTGCCCTTCTGCACCTCAGCTACCCTGAGAGATTGGAGCGCCTGAACTTGCCTAGCTTATACTACAGACGGGCAAGGAGTGACCTAAATGAGGTGTATAAGCATCTCAAGGGGCACTACTCAGTCGAGTGTCCTTACTTGGAGCTGGCGGACGCTCGCCCCACAAGGGGTCACAGCTCAAAATTGAAGAAGCCGCAAGTCCAGAAAACTGCGAGGGGTAACTTTTTTGGAGTGAGAGTTATGAACTCTTGGAACAATCTACCAGAGAGTGTTGTGACGGCACCGAGTGTGAGCTCTTTCAAGACAAGACTTGATCAACACTGGAGCAGGTTCAGGTACACTCAGGAGCCGGTGCATGGCCCGTACTTGCCAACAGTGCGTAACAGAGATGTGACCAATCGCCCAAGCGGCTAACTAGCCGATAAGTGGTGAAGAGGATAAAAGTAAAATAAAAGAGAGAAAGGGTGAATTACATGACCTCACGTGAGGTGACCCCACACAATGTACCCACAGAGGGCGACCTGACTTTACTGGAAACCTGATAACGATAACCTCACAAAATATGGCGGTTGACGAGTTCCACAACAAATTAAATATTGAGTTACTTAATACACAAAGGCAGAACATACCATACAGAAAATTCAGAAAAACAACAATGACTCCAAAGCGATAAATAATTATTTAAAGAATATTATTGGATAAAAGAAGGCTATAAGTATATTGCCAGACTGGGGTCACTAATACTAAGGGTAAATACTTAACTCTATCTTAATTTCTAAGGGTCGCTGCCACCAGACCCCCTCTGGACAGCATGTAGCTCGTTAGGTAACGTGCAGAGTGGACTAGGCATTGGGTTAGGTTTTCCATTGACCAGATCGATGAGGGGAAAGAAGGGTGAAACCATAATATGTCTTAATTAATTTATTCCTTATAAAGCATACTGGTAAAAAACATACAAATGAATTGGTCTTCCTCAGAAGAACAACGAAAATGTTGGTTACCCAGATGGGCACCAGACGTCTTACATTAATGGCGTGTCATCCACATACTTATTGCATAACAATCTGTGACCACCTTACCTCGGTCATTCCTTCTTACACTATCCCTTAACACATCAGTCTGCTCCACCTGCATGGAATAGCACCGTCGGTTATCATACATAGTAGCACCATCTCAACACACATGTTACACTCCACCCCTGCAGGTATGGGACTCCTTGTGACTTTTAGGTATACACAACAGGCACCTCGTTCGCACACCGCCCTCGGTGGGTAAAGACGAGGGCTTCACCAAGAGACATACCAGTACTATTTCTACGCCTGGTATTATCGGTCGCTCCAAGTGACGACCGCAGAGTTTCTCAAGCGTTTCCTTATTTGTTCTTACTCATTTGGAGTGGTGTGCTGGAAATCCACAGGTTCACAGTGGATTGGCATAGCTGGGAGTAGTCACCACCTGTTGGGACGCTCATAGGGATAATGGCTGCCTCGCAGCAGCAGCAAGGTACTCCGACCGACCTCATGGAACCTGAGGTGACGGTAAAACGAAAGGGACTGAGAAATAATGCCTGACGGGCGGTTATCACACCCCCTAACACATTACTATTACACTTATATATCAGGCAAAGCTTTAAACTGTAATAACTTCTATATAAGCCTTAATTATCCACTGGTCAACAGCCAAAATGGTTCACATATGACATCATGCTCACACAACTAATTTCATATTGCTGAATTCGAATCTGATATTTGTTTTGTTCTATTAGACCAGGTTTTATAAAAAAATCAATAGGTACAAATATTTAATATTCCATCACGTGTCGTGCAAAAGATGAAATTATCTCATGTGACTGTGCTTTCATGACTAATTTCATATTAATGAATATTAATTGGATGTTTCATTCTACCATCAGACCTACTTTCTTAAAGAATAAAAAAAATAGTAAATATAGTAACATTATCGCGTCATGCAAGATACAATTTTAAACCTATCACAGATAAGCTCATAAAAATTGTACCAAAAAACATAAGTTCAAATCCTTTATAATGACAAAATATGAAGTTCTAAAAGTGCTTCTGAACTTTACTCTTTCTCTTGTACAGCTTGCTCTCTTCTCGTTGCAGTGTCCAGCAATAGTCGCCCATCATGTTAGGACTGAATTGTCCCTGATATCTGCTCTCCATTATGGCGATATCTTGATGAAATCTTTCGCCGTGTTCATCACTAACGTCTCCAAGGTTACCTGGGAAAAATTCAATATGAGAGTGGAAAAAATGCAATTTCAAGGACATCCTTGCTCCCAATGCATGATAATTCTGAAGCATGGTTGTTACGATTTCTTTGTAGTTGTCAGCACGATAGTTTCCAAGAAAATTCTTTGACACATTGACAAATGATTCCCATGCTTTTTTCTCCAGTGGGTTCAATGTTTTGGTGAATTCGCTATCATTAACTAGTATACGAATTTGTGGTCCATTCAAGACACCTGCTTTCAACTTGGCTTCGGAAACCACACCACCTAGTTTCTGAGATAAGTATAGAGTCCCAGCACCGAATTGATCCATAGCTTTGATGAAATTTTTAGCCAAACCGAGCTTTAGATGCAGTGGAGGCAAAAATATCTTTTCTGGATCTACAAGCGGATTGTGAGCACAGTTAAACCTTCCAGGCGCATCTCTTGGTCTTGTCGGCCAATCCTTTCTCACATAGTGCTCTGCATCAGCTCTGCTGTTCCACAAGCACAAAAAGCACATGTGCTTTGTGTAGCCACTCTGAAGGCCCAGTAGTAAACTGATGACTTTGA